TTTTTACAGTCAGGAGACCATTTGGGGCACATATTACCTGCGGTTTAATAAGTGATAAAAGATTATTCTGCGGAGACAAGGTGGTCCTTGGGTTGGCTTTAGATTTGAGAATCCCAGGGATGCTCCTCAATAGTGTTATCACCTTTTTGAGTCTTCTTGTCAAGATGTTGACTCCTTGAAAGAGGACACAGATTTATCAAACATCTTCATCAAGTACTCTTTCCCTTGTGGTAATTACTGTCATACTGAAATTATCTAGTTTTAGTACTGATGAGATCATGTCAGTCATTTGATCCCAAAACAATAAAAGTATACGTTCATAAAGATTAAAAAAAAAAAACAAAAAAAAACAGGTGCCATTAAGTTATTCTGGTTCATGGCGACCCCATCTCTATCATAGTTTTCAATGGCTGATTTTTTTGGAAGTATGTCACCAGACCTTTCTTCCGAGGCACCTCTGAGTAGACTCGAACCTCCAACCTTTCAGTTAACAGCCGAGCATGTTAACTGTATGCACCACCCGGGGACTCCTCATAGAGATATAATCTGGCTTAATTTTTTTCTGAGAAATAATTAAGATAATGGGCAGCTGGCTGAATGGGGGAAAAAAACAGTAAAGATCTCAAAGGGATGTATTCAAAGCATGTCAGGAAGCCCTTGTTTCAATTTCTGTATCTTTGTTCATGCTGGCTCCCCAGCTTGGAATCTTATCTTTTCTCCTCTCCACCTATCTAAATCCTGCCCTTCTCAAGGCCCAACTCAAGTCCTTCTCCATTCACTAAGCCCTCTTCAACTACTTGGTGTCCAGATAATAAGGGAGACAGCAGTTCCACTGTATCCTGAACTGATCACAGGATCTAAAGAATTGTGTTCAGATATGACTTCTACATTTTTTAGGAGCATGATTAAGATAGGGGAGATATGGAGGAAAAACACGTAAAGGGAATAGACAATTTGAAATGGGCAAGTTTAATCCAAAGAAGATTTAGGGAGGGACAAGATAGCTGTCTTTAAGGGTTAAAGTACAGATGGAATTAGATTGACTCTAATTACGTTTAGAGCAGTGGTTTTCAAATTGTGCTCTGCAGAGCTGCAGGGATTCTGTGGTGTGCCTAAGGGTAGAGGAGAAGGGGGGACTAGTGAGTATGCTGAGTGCCCCCTGCTGCTTCCAACAGAGGAGCTCCAGTTTTAACTACTTTATATGTTGGGCTTGTGCCTAGTATTTCTTTTAAAGACACATTATACTGCTTAAAAAATATAAAGTTTTGAAAAATTGTTGAATAATAACTATAGAATGGAATAGTAATGTTCTATAGAATAATAGATAATAGAATAATAAATATTATTTATTACAGACTATATAAATATATTCTATAGAATATGTTATACTCTATATAAATATATATAGAATATCTTTATTATAAATACATAATAATAAGTAGGTGAGAGTTTTGGTTCAACATAAAATGTTCTAGCAATAAGAGGATTTGAAAAATTAAATGGACTACTTTGTGACATGTCCATTCTACATTAAATTAGAAACTCAGTGACCCTGCAAAGGATGTTGAAAGATTTCTGCTTATAGGGAGAGGTTGGGTTGGATGCACGCTGGCCTTCCTACAATTCTAAGATTATATAGTTTTACCTCATAGTCCAGTTGATTTCTTCTCTTATTGTCAGCGTTTGATAACTTGACACTTAGCTGTTCTCAGTCAGGTTTTTGGGTGAACCACAGCTTCCCATTAAATCATGAGGTCCCAGAGAGTAGGAACAATGTCCTCACTGCTTCTGGATTCTTCAGATTTCACCACAGATGTAGTGGCTCAGTAAATACCTGTTGATACAAGAAATGACTGCAAGAAGCACTTGCTTAATTTCCTTATGACCTCAGACAATGATAAATGTGATAAGGGAAAGTAGTTGCAGGAATTTTTTTTTACCATTGCTTTTGGCCTTTCGAGAATAGTAGCAATGACAAAGGAGATTTGTGATAAGCCCTTTTTTTTGGCCAGGAGGCCACAATACTATTGTGTCTAAAAAAGTGAACATGGATTGCCTCAGTGCCTAACAGGAGAAAAACTTGAATGTGGAAACCATGAGTTTCCATACAGATTGAGAAACTAAGGCACAGTGCAAGAGTAAAGTGAGGACGTTTCCAGGTATCCAGGTACAGCAGGGCAATGCGTTCTAAGAGGATTACATCATCAGTGTGGATTTCCAACTGGGTTTTTTGCCCATGATTCAATTGGCTCTGATTTTATTGAGAACTAGAACCAAAAGGTATGAATTCCAAGAAACTTTTTCAGATTAAAGATTGGAATCTAGTAATTGTGATAGGTGCTTGATGAGCACAGTGTAATCTGAAGCAGCCCTTTCACTCACAGAAGCCTTTCATGTTTCCTCCCTTTGTACTGTGTGGAAAAGGGCACAGTGTTTCCCCCAGCTCCTGGCACCTTGCCTTTGCCTCCTAGACACTAAAGAAGTGCTCCTTGAATTGAGCAGACTTTTATGAATGGGACTTTCAGAGCCCAATAACCAAGACACTGTAGCTGGTAATAATGGTCATCACTGCTTGAAGACCCACTTTACCCATACAAATTCAGAGGAGTTTAGGGATGACAAGTTTTGTTTTGTTTTTTTTCCCAGCTTTTTTTTTTTAGAATTGTTGTAGTTTAAATGAAGTTTACGTTTCAAGTTAGTCTCCCATACAGAAATTTATACATACGTTGTTATCTGACCCTAATTGCTCTCCCCATACTGTGACAGCACATTCCTCCTTTCTACCCCTGATTCCCCATGTCCATTCAACCAGCTCCTTACCCTCTCCGCCTTCCCATCTCACCTCCGGACAGAAGCTCCCCGTTTAGTCTCTTGTATCTACTTGAGCTAAGAGGCACCCTCCTCATGAGTATCACTTTATGTCCCACAGTCCAGTCCAATCCCTGTCTGAAGAGTTGGCCTCGGAAATTGACTTAGTTCTGGGCTGATAGAGAGTCCAGGGGCTGTGCTTTCTGGGGTTCCTCCAGTCTCAGTCAGACCATTAAGTCTGGTCTTCTTACTAGAATTTGAGTTCAGCACCCCACCTTTCTCCTGCTCCATCAGGGACTCTCTGTTGTGCTCCCTATCAGGGCAGTCATTGGTGGTAGCCAGGCACCATCTAGTTCTTCTGGTCTTAGGCTGATGAAGTCTCTGGTTTATGTGGCCCTTTCTGTCTCTTGGGCTAATACTTTCCTTGTGTCTTTGGTGTTCTTCATTCTCCTTTACTCCAGGTGGTTGGGACCAACTGATGCATCTTAGATGGCCGCTTGCAAGCTTTTAAGACTCCAGAGGCCACTCACTGAAGTAGGATGCAGAACATTTTCTTAATAAGCTTTGTTATGCCAATTGACCTAGATGTCCCCTGAAAGCATGGCCCCCAGACCCCTACCCCTGCTACTCTGTCCGTCAAAGTGTTTGATTGTATTCAGGAAGCTTCTTAGTTTTGATTTAGTCCAGTTGTGCTGACTTCCCCTGTAGTGTGTGCTGAGGGATGGCAAGTTTCATGATGTCAATATCTCACAGTCCAAATGGGGAATTTGGTCACATCTGTAAACACAGACCTGTGAAGATCTCTTACATGATAATTTTTGATAGATAACAAGGAGAATGCCTAGAGCCAGGAATGATTCCAGTATTAAGGAAGCCTTACCATACCCTTGGGAAGAGGGTGATTTTCATATAAATTCTAACTCTATGGACTTTAATACCTGAGCACCTTCTGATGTGAAGCTGTCATAAATAGTCAGAAGCTACATTTGAAAGAGTCTCAGAGATAGTCTAATACCCATGACAATTTTACTAATAGAGAAGAAATTGGGGGCCCAGATATTTAAAGAACCAGGATTAGAACATAGGTTATTTAATTCTCAATATAATTTCCATTATTCTGTATACTCTACTGGCTCCCAAGTTGTGTAGGATGTTAAATGCATGCTAATTCATAATGGTGAGGGAGGATATCTTCATTCACTCTATAAAATTTTCATAATAGTTAGGTATGATCTTTCTTCTCAGTGCTCCTTTGAAACTTGGGAGTGCATAATTCTGGAAACTGTTAATCTATCCTTAAACTTGCTAAACATGTTTTAGGGCCTCGTGTAACAAGAGGGTACTGCAGGTGTCAAGAATACCACAAAGGTGCTCATGTAACATACACGATAACTTCATAATGCCTTAGGCAACAGTGTCTTATGCCAGCATGAATTACAATAAACGTAAGGCCCAAGGAAAAAAATTAATTAAGACAACGTATTTGAAAAGTGTGTAACTTTGGAAATGACCTACAGGCAGTCCCTGGGTTACGAACGTCTGACTTATGTACAACCCATAGTTACAAACCAACCCCTGTAAAGCCTATTACATTAAAAATTCAAGGTACAAACTGATTCATAATAACAAGTGGTGTGCTAGCTTCCGATATGCATCAAAACATTATTATTACTGTGTTGTGTTAAAGATGTTTTAGTGTATCTGGAAGTGTTTCTTTAATGTTTTTTATGCATAGAAAGGTCCACTGTATGCTGTATACTAAGACAAACATTTGACTAACTGACGTTAGATATGAATCGTACCTAACTGTTCCAACTTATGTACAAATTTCACTTAAAGACAGATTTAGGAATAGAATTCGTTCGTAGCCTGGGGACTGCCTGTATTCCATTATCTGTATTAAAAAAAAGTTTTATTTTAAAATAAATTGTTAAAGCATATTGGCGTAAATTTTTAACTCATTTAAGAGAATATGTGACTTAACGGATTTAATAAGCCTCCATTACATGTGTATATTTACATGATTCTTAGCCCCAGTTCATTAAAATAACAGTTCATCAATCAGCATTTTAGACTTATGCTGGGCAGTTCAGAAATAGGATCAGGATAAGTTTCACAGAGTAAAATTTAAGCATATAATAAGAAAAGAACTTAAAATATGTTTTACTTATTTATAATTGAATATAGTGAGGGCAGTGGTGGTTCAGGGGTAGAATTCTAGCCTACCATGTGGGAGACCTGGGTTCGATTCCCAGCCAGTGCACCTCACGTGCAGATGCCACTTGCCTGTCCCTGGAGGCTTGCATGTTGCTATGATGCCGAACAGGTTTCAGCAAACCTTCTAAACTAAGCTGGATTAGGAAGAAAGGCCTGGTGACCTACGTCTGAAAATCAGCCAGTGGATACCCTATGGATCACAATGGTTCAGTCTGCAACTGATTATGGGGATGGTGCAGGACTGGGCAGCATTTCATTTCATTGTATTTGGGGTCGCCATGAATCAGAGGCCAACTCAATGGCAGCTAATAACCACAACAATAACTGAATATACCAAAGAATCTAATAGTGAAAATGAGATCTTCTATCCCTGTCTCCCAGCTACCCAAATCCCCTGTCCAGAGATAACACCGTCATCTTGTTCATACTTACTGAGGTATTCTGTGCGTGTACAAGCATACAGGTACACATACTGAACGTCTCATTCAGTACTTTGCATTTTCACTTAGCCGTGTCTCAGAAACTGATGAAAACCCTTCTATTAACTACTACTCTTCAGAAGTGGAACAGACTGTCTTGTGAGGTAGCTGAGAAGTGTCACAAGTGTCGACAAAAGCTGGAGGATTGGCTAAGAGGAATGCAGAAGGGATTCCTACTCTGGGTAGGAGTTTGGAATAGATGACCGCAAAGGTCTCCCTCTCAGATTCTGTGATGTATTTAAGTGTCTACTATGTGCTAAGCACTGTGGGCAACAAAAAGAAGTATAAAGAACTTAACATTTTACTTGGGAAGACAAGATAAATGCTCACATATATGCTGTCAGTGTTAATGTGAAAAATGTCATAAGGCAAACTTAGTGATATCACAAAGCCATACATAAATAGGTATTGAGTGAGCCAGGTAGACAGTAAATACTATGAGTTATGCGACATTAGCATTTAGTAGGTGGGATGTTCCTGAGCCTTGAAAAATTGAATTTAGATTAATAGGGGAGAAGTAGGAGAGCAGTTTGGCGTGGAGGAACACGGAGAGTCAGTACAGCGATGGGGGTAAACCAGTATGAAAGTCAAGGAAATAAAGGGTTGACAGGGAGTAAAATCCACCCATCTGTCAGTTTGTTGTACCATGGTGGCTCATGTGTTGCTGTGATGGTAGAAGTCATACCACTGGTATTTCAGATACCATCAGGGTCACCCATGGTGGACAGGTTTCAGCAGACCTTCCAGACTAAGACAGACTAGAAAGAAAGGCCTGATGATCTACTTCCAAAAATTAGCCAACGAAAACCGTATGGATCACAACAGAATATTGTTTGATATAGTTCTGGAAGATGAGCCCCCTGGGTTGGAAGGCAGTATACAATAGCTGCAGCAATGGACTTAAACATACCAATGATCATGAGGATGGTGCAGGACTGGGCAACTTTTAGTTCTGTTGTACATGGGGTCGCCATGAGTCAGGACTGACTGGATGGCAACTAACAACAACAGGGAGTAAAGGGAGTAGGTAAATTCTAGGCTCTGAAGTTTAGCCTACATATAGTGAGTTACAGGCCCACTGAATGTTTCTGAGCAGGAATTTGACAGTGTTATATTTTAGAAAGATTAATATAAGCTATTGCATAAATATGGGCTCAGCGTCTGAATGTTGATGCTGGCAATAAAAGGGAAAAAAAGAATCCAAAAATAAAATGAAAAGCGATATGTGATTGCTGATTGAGTTTGGAGTCAAGGAAAAGGAATGAGAGATTGATGACTCCAAGTTTTTAAGCCCAATTGGGAGAAAGACGGTTCTATTAACAGAAATAGAGAAGACAGAGCAGGTGTAATGGGGAGAGAGGCGATGAATTTGATTTTAGATTAAGGTGAGACATTTAGATAAAAGTGTATAGTTGAGAGAGTGGTGCTGAATCTCTTGAAAGAAATTAGAGCCGTAGATGGCAACATTCCCAGTTTTGTACATTTAGGGCCAGACTGCCCCCAGAGGGCACCATCTTCCGGTCAAAAAGAAGAGGCAAGTTATGTTTTCCTCTGGCTGAACTCGTGTCAGACCTGGTTTAAGTGGCAGGGAATTGTTTACTAATGACAATGTAATGTTTAGTATAGGGAGATATAAAAATGAGTATGCTTTTAGTATTTGATTCTAGCATTACACTTTATGTCTGTATGATGTGTGTATTGTATTGGTAACTGACATTTGTTTAAATCCTTATGTACTATTTCAGTTTGTTTAATTCTAAAAGAGTTCTAGGGTGGTGTTATGGTGAGTTACTCTCCAAAATAGCATTGTTGTCTTTACTTTGATTAATAAAATATAGTTTTTACATTTAAGGAATTTGGAATTTAGTGAACTAGTTTGTATTCTATTGTACATGCCTGTGTTTTAGCAGTTTTGACATTGAAATGTAATCACTGTACTGAAACATCTGTAATATTCTCTTTTTTCCCAGATTTTATTTATTTATTTATTTTATTGTGCTTTAGGTGAAAGTTTATAGCTCAAGTTAGCTTCTCATTAAAAAATTTCTATACATATTGCTTTGTGACATTGGTTGCAATCCCCACAATGTGACAGCGTACTCCCCCTTCCCACCCTGAGTTCCTTGTGTCCATTCATCCAGTTGCTGTCCCTTCCTGCCTTCTCATCTTGCCTTTGGGCAGGAGTTGCCCATTTGGTCTCATTTGGTTGAACTAATAAGAAGCACGTTCTTCACATGTGTTATCGTTTATTTTATAGGCCTATTTAATCTTTGTGTGAAAAGTAGGCTTTGGGACCGTCTGTAATAGGGTCAGCAAAAAGTTTTACTTGCCCTTAGGAACTCTGTACATCCTCTTCTCTGTTGGTGAGAGAATGTTATGATAAGAGATCATTGGGTTCTCCTTTCTGCCCTCCTTCCCAGGAAGGACAGAGCTAAATTTGATGCTGAACTTGATGTTTACTGGTTAGTATATTTCATTTCTTCTCTCTCCTGGATCTGAACTATCTTTTACTAATCTATTACATTGTGTATATTCCTTACTGCTAGCTATCGCACAACCTATTGTGGAAGAGACAAGGTACAAATAAATTCAATTTATTGCAGCCATTAAACTGTTCCTGAAGGGCTGACACCACATCCCCTTAGCACCTAGCATAATTCCAAGGTCATAGTAGGTATTCTAAAATTTTTTCACAGGGGCTCAGAAAAGTCAGAGAAAGCTAGAGATGCTATCTTGAAAGAGCAGTCATTTTTGCTTGTCTCTGAGACAGGCAGAGACAGGCTGTGAGGGAAAGGAATCACATGAGCAGAGACGTGGAGGTGGAAAAATGTGGGCGATGTCCTTGTAATAGTGAATACTCCATTTCAGAGAAGCATGGGGAGTGTGAATGGAGTGGTAGGAGGGTGGTCTGGCCCTCTACGCTGTTAGGATTATCATCAGTGGTTATTCCTTGGCACTTGTCTCTTTATCATCTTGTCTGGAATGAGGCTTCAGAGTCCACAAGCCCAGGGCCAAAGAGTTCACAGGGACAGGAGAGAGCACGCATTCCACTCTTCTAGTGTCCTCTCTCATCTGCCCTTGACTCTTAGTCATTGACTCTGATCGTCTACCTAAAACAACTTAGCCTTGGTGTTATTTTAACCCAAGCAGTCCAGAGGCTGTCAGGCAACCTTAATTATTCTTCACTTTACTCACTAGGAGGCCCTGAACATAAAGCACACATACACACACATAGGGAGCAAAGACTCCCTCAAAGACAATAGAGTATTTCGTTACTACAAGCTGTATAGCTGAAATTTGGAGGTAATAAAAAACAAAAGCTTATATTTATTAAGCATTGTGTGCCAAGCACTAAATGAATTTTGTCATTTAATCCTTATCATCATCCTTAGAAGTATATGTTATTGTTATTTCCGTTTTAGTAATTTAAAAAAAACTGAAAGAAATTAGTATCATTTAAGTTCACACAGTAAGTGCCAGAACTGGGATTTAAACCCAGGCAATCTAACTCCAAAGCCTGAACTCTTAACTAGTACATTAGACTGTTTTAAAAGAAGCACATTAAAAAATGTGAGAGATACAACATTGTGAAAATGTCAATTCTACCCAAAGCCATTTACAAATACAACGCAATCCCGATCCAAATACCAACAACATTCTTCAAAGAGATGGAAAAACTAATCATTAGCTTTGTATGGAAAGGGAAGAAGCCCCGAATAA